TTGGGGGAATGCTCATCTGACCATTAGGGATTATATGGGGACCATGGGCGGAGAAGATGGATATAGTATCATCCAAGCACAGCCATTCGGCAGGCATGCCCAGAACAATAGCATTCTGGTAGGCCGCCCGAAGAACATTCATTCTGCTTAGGTTCAGGAGCATGTCGGTCTGTGGCGATCCGCCCAGGTAGCTATGCAAAGCTCCCGTTTCAAAGTCGGCCATCAGCTCGTGGACATCTGGAGGAGCAAATGTGCATCGGAGATGTTCGGTCTTTGATAGTCTACATGTAATCGTGCCCGAGGGGGGAATAGGAGAGTTCAATGATGATACGTTGTGGATGTTGTTTGCGGCTCCCGATGAACTGCCATTTTTTCGTTGACGCAACCCTGCAATAAGAATAGTCAGCTAAAAAGGCGCCAGCCTCTACACTGAGTAGGCAGGGGTTCTAGTCCTCACGATAGGCTCTCTGGTTGAGGCGATTTTGCACTCGACGTCGTATAACTCGACTGCTCACTCCGCTCCAGTCATCCTCAGGGCCAGTGGCCAGTGCGGGATGTGGTATCCGATGCAGCTGCATTTGGAAGGTTCTATGACACCAAGGAGGGTTGATCTGTTCTTACCACTACCTACACTGGGCGAGGCTAACAAGTGGCTCTTAAATAGATGCCGCAAGATGCTTACACTTCGGTTATTATTGGCCCGTTATCGGTCAATCCGCTGGTGGGGCCGATGGAGATGGAGTGGGTCGAGGGTCTCTTAACTCCGGTATCTGGTTATGGGCTTGCTAAGGGACATGGAAGTGTGGTTGAGTGTGGAATCAGTTGACTCTTCTCGGCAGAAGTTTCATAATAAGTCATTATGTCCCCTTCGTCTTTGCGCCCGTTATTATGGTATAGATTCTTGCATGGAGAAGAACTAGTGCATGCGATATTCAGGGAATATCTGGCAGTAATTGATATAGGCCTATACTTCAATATCGCTTGCTTTACTTTCTCACACCGTTGAGTCTATTGTTACTCTCGAGAGGCATTACTCACAAGAAGTTATTGTCGCAAGCTATATGGCAAATTCTATGCTGAGCCTCTTTTCAGACATTAGGATATCTGGACATCTTATCAGAGGACATCTAATGGTAGGGTCATAGCAGCACCCAAACTGAATATCATGTCACCTCATTAGATCTACACGCTTTTTAACCGAGACGCGAATTCTACCATCACTGTCTGCTACCTGCATACTAGGCGACGTCGAAAGATCAGATCAATCCTTGGGTTCAATACTTCATCACTCTGTAGGCTTCTAATTCAGCCGGATATCGTGTGGCTTCTCAACCCAGTCGAAGTTGTGCTGTGGAAGGTATGCAGAACGCCAAATGCCTCGTTCTTCGTGCAGTTTATGTCGCACTCGTTGTGCGGTGTACAAGATGATGGCGTTCAGACGAGGGGAGCACTCCAGCAGGAGTGGGGAGGCGGGTGGTTCTATTTATGAAGGCAAAGTAAATCACCGCTTGGGAAGGGAGTGAGGTGTTAGATAGCGCTTCCAAATCGTTGTTCTATACGGGGGTTTTATAATGCTACCTGATGGGAGATGACGGAGATAAGCTCAAAGTCCGGAAGATGCGGGCAGCTTACACCCTGAATGCGGGTCGGATCCAGTCTTGAGTTTGGATGGGGCACTTGGCAAGTCCTGATTATAAGTAAGGCATTTCATCGGACGCAACAACTAATTGTCCCTATCAATCGCTCAAACACCAAAGATCAATGCAAATAGCTGTCGGCTTGCATGCATAACGTACTGCCTTACCTCTTGTGAGCGTCGAAATTGGAGACACCCACAAAGTCACTCAGCGGCGAGCAACTCCTAGGAAAAGAAATATATTCTCTCTTCTCTTCCTTTTGTTTTGTTGTTGACTACCTGAAATAACATAAAATTAGTCATGTCAGGCAAACACTGTCATCGTTGCGAAACAATTATTCGTTGTTCGGAGTATTCTTCCGCTTGGAGACTATTATAATATATCTATGGGGTATTTTCATTCCATCCACATCCTGTAAGCCAGAACGAACATCAGTAGAACACCAGGCCAAGGCTACACCACGAAAGATGCATGCGAATGAGTTAGTCCCCATTAAATCTCACTAACTGATCAATGTTGTCAAATAATCCTATACTCACATGCTACACTAGAGAACCTTTCAATTCCGGGTGGGCATCGGGATCCTCACAACATGGAGGATCCGAGGCAAAAAGACGCAGTGGATATGTCCCCCCGAACATGCGCTCGCGCATCACCCCTGATATGAGAAGGAAACTGGATGACCAATGGATCTTATTGAAAGAGAAGTTGTTTGGTTCCTCTGAAGGCATGGCAGAACTCTCCGATGACCCAAAAGAGGAGGATAAATCTGACGATGAGGCATCTCCTGATAATCAAACTAACAATATGCCTTCAGCTGAGCCGTTTTCTGATCCTGGATTGTCCGAGGATAGTCCATACGAGGGAGAATGCTCTGATGATGAACGGTCTGATGATGGATTGCTCGGTGATCCATCCTTTGACGATGAGTTGTCCGATAATAGTTCGTCCCAAAGTCATGGGTTCTGGCAATATATCTGCGATATCTGTTCTAAGGTCTGGGATGGTATCAAGACCGGATTTCAAAAGGTTTTTGATGCAATCAAATCCGCGTGTGCTTTGTTACGGGATATTCTATGTGAGGCTGGCAGCTGGGTCAAGGAGCATCTGGATAATTTTCTATCCAAGATTACGCAGATACTTGTGGGGTCCAATCGGTAAAACTTTGGAGATTACGTCCCTTTGGTATGAATGAATTAATGGAATTTGTCATACTCTTCATTGAGTGCAATGATTTGGTGTATCTGGAAAGGATAATTTGTGGAGGGTTTAATATGAGTTTAATTATAAAATCGAAGTTTTCAGTTTCACGATCGACAAAAGAAGTAAGGTAGCAAAGCAAGGCCACCTTCGATAAAAAGACGCCTAATATACCAGAATATATCTCAGGAGGTGAATTATCCTGGAGATATGCTTCGTTCGATGGTAATTTAGTCCAATATATTGTAATTTAGATTGCAGATATATTTTCTTGCCTTACGGCATCGAAGTCGAGCAGATAGTATTTTGTATCCTTGGAGATAGAACCCCCCCCACTAAGCCTAGACAACTTGGCCGGTATCTTTTATATCGTCTGCCTGCTTTTATATCATACGCACTGAATGCTGAAATGATATTCACTGTAGTAGCGGGAAGATAACAACGAGACTCAAATGACAGGATTGCGGAGTAATATATAAATGCACTCGCTAGAGACAATGTTACATTACCAAATTAACACTAAGTTACTTGATAAATTGCAGTCTCAAAGTTGACCTGGGGGCATTTAGAGCTATTGCTGATGTCCATACAGATGGTTGCGTCTCGAAGGTCAATTCTTTGTGAAATCCCCTTGAAGCACCGGAATTAGCCTGGAAAATGGCAAGTAGAAGAAAAAAGCTACCCTGCTGTTCTACGTATAAGACAGGTAAGGTCTTATTAGATAGCTGGAAACTCCAGCATTGCAAATTAACTTGCCCTATTAAGGAATAGGGCTAGGTTACACAATGAATGACGGGATGTCAGGCTGTTTAGGCGTACTGCCTCATGCACCCCTGCTACAACGAAGTGAAGGAGATACCCGATGTAGTCAAATAGTATTTTGGTTTTCCTCTAGCCCGAAACTTGTATAAGAGAGAGCGCCAGTTGTTGAATCCAAGTCCAGGAGAAAACCCCTCAACTAGAAACAGCAAGTCACTTCAACTGTGGGCAAGTTCATACCAAGGGTCAGAACTATGGCTAGTAAGTACCTGATTGTTTCGATCATTCCTTCATAGCCATTTGGGACATTTCATTTCTAGCCCCAATTATAATGTACTAATATTGTCTATCACAGACCTTGAGAGCAGCATTCATAACCCCAAAACCCGCCCTTCGGAAGATGAAAAATACAACGAGATCGAAGGAATCGACTACACCGTCGGGTATGTAAAGCAGCTCAGCTCAGACGATGAACTCCTCGCCGGAGCCTGGGGCATGAATGCCACTACAGAGATATGGGATCTATGCTACCGGAGCGGCCCAAGGATGGCGAAAATCCTCGAGGATTTTGTCAGTAGCATGAAGCCTTCAAAGAGGGCCTACGACGATGCAAGGGACATCCTGACTATTGACATGCAGCTTTTCCATTGGTCCCAAGACATGGCTTTTATATCTATCTTCGATGATACAGAACCTCCCCGATTGGACTGGGACAAGGTCACGATGAACAATATTGTAGGAATCACTGCGATCTGGACTTTACATGAAATGGCTAGGATCAAACCGGGTATGTTTCGTCACACTTACCAATACGTCCCTGGAGAGAGGAATCCGTTCAAGTTGGATGCCTATGATCTTCTTCATGGAATAATGCTTTTGCGCTGGGTGCTTCGCACCTGGAATTATGATCGCAACCAACAGCCTGACAGACCCCGGCCGTTGAGGGCTAAGGAGAGACGATTTTGGAGACCGAAAGCGCGGGTTGTATCGTTCGCACCATTGCCTGAGCCGGAGGATAGTGACATGATGGATATTGATTGAATAGTACTATAGCACGAGATGATGTGATATAGCGGGGCTTTGAATTGATCCAGTCTTGGCCTATAGGGCAATTCATAAGCTGAGCTATTAATGCTGGCGAGGATAAAACTTCATACTAGATACAAAATGTGCCTACTTTACTATATCCAGCCACACGTTGTGGCATGCTTGGGTAGAAAATAGTAGTAAAATCAGTCTTTCCCAAATGACTTGATGAACCTTGACAGATCTTTTAGACCGGTGAGGAAAGCGGACCACATACTCAGGATGTAAATAAACACCGTTTACTCTTCCTTCGAAAATGGCAGATCTGTGCCATTGGAAGCATTGAAGTCCTCATACAGCGACTGCATGTTCTCATAGCTAATTATAAGGCTCATTATCGGGAAGGTACCTTGGATGTTTGATGATGGTATCTTCATCGGCTTTGCAGATATCTTCATCGGCTTTGCAGATATCTTCATCGGCTTTGCAGATATCTTCATCGGCTTTGCAGATATATCCGGAGTAGCCCATGGCGATGAAGTTTGGTGGCTGCTTCAGGTGCACAATTTTCTTGTTGTATTTAGCTTGTTGATCGGTATGCAGGTGGTCGACGATAACGTTGAGTGTTTCTTTGGAGGATTCAACAATCTAGCTTGTCGGATTAGTAAATTGTAATTACAGCCCATTGTTGGGATACGGAAACGCGGGAAATGTGTCTTTACATTGTCAGACCCACCATCATCGCCAAAATCTGGTCTGGCAGTCTCTTTGGGCTGGGATTGGATGAGATTGATTCCAATGGGAAAATGGGAGATTAAGACCCAAAGTGATGTCCATATACGCCAGCGAAACGGATTTGTGAAATGAAGCATGATGGAATCACACTGTGGAATTCTGCGACCAACACTTGGAGACAGGTCCATGCTACGGATGTCATGAAGTAAACGCTCACTGTTAGAGCTCCAGTGAGGCGGTGAGAACTAGCACAATTAGCCATCTAGTATGTCAATGTAGTGAACACAACATAGCTAAGGCCGACATGGAGATATTCACAGCTTCACGACGACTTACTAAGCTAGGCAAATCCAGAACGCGTCAGGCGCGGCCATAGAAGTCAAATGATCTTTGAAATTTGAACCATATACTACTGTTGCTTCTCGGACAAAGGGAATAAACCTCGTCAAGAAGAGTCTGAAATGGATTGAGCAAGAGAGTTAAATGAAATAATTACTAAATTTTGCGCACATTAGGCCTTCAGATTATAGCTCAAGCTAACCCTCTCGTACTAAGCACAGACCTTGATACGATGGGGCTGAGAAGCAAGTGTGAAGCCCGAACCCCCAGCCCCAGTGGCATCATCATCCTTGCGTCTCTTGGGATCCCTTTCCTGACGGTATCTGGGACAGAGATATCCTTTGCCATCACCACGAGTGGCACCCTTGGAGGTTGTAATTGGGTGCTTGCAGGACGAGCCTCTTTCAATCGCGGGCTTGCACCAGTGGACTTTTTCCTCGCCTTCCGGCATCCTGTGCCCGCAGCTCCAAGTATACACGTTGGGAAGCTCTTTTTTGCGCATTGCTGTCTGAGATATAATGCGTAGTCTGTGTTGTGGTGTCAGTAACTATACCAAATGGACCTTTCCTGCCAGGAAAAAAATACATACGTGGAGGTTCTGATGGGAAATTCTGTGTAAAAAGAACCCAGTAGACATGAATAGGAATCCACGGAGAACTCACAATGGCAGTATTTATATGAACTAGTTGGTGGCTTTGAGCCTCGGAGCCTATAGATTAGTTAATTCTGGGGCGTTGAATATGGAGTCTGCTTTGTCAATTGTGACAAGGATCAGAACCAAATAACGAGGATTCCAGCAGTCTGCCGAGAGAATTCAGGCCCATGATTGTGACATGTGTTCATAGATTCACAGACACGTCGACCAAATTTGACCAACCCCGATGGGTGCACACCCGTTGCCTTACTAGACAGGAGCATTCGTAATGAAGCAATGCGTAATAAAACACAGATGGTAGCCAAGAGGCGACTTTACCTTCGTACTGAAATATAGTTCACACTAAAGACGAAGAGGGGAGATCTGTATCATCTTTGAAAGGCCAGTTCCGCCAGCAAATATCACGCTCATCCTCCTCAAAGTTTGCGGGTTCTGTACCACCTTCGGGGTCAATACCTAAATCGTTCCTGATAAAATCCAGGAGTTCTTCGCACTGATTCCACTCATTTGCTTCCTCCATTGCTGTGTGCCGTTCCTGATCAGAAAAGACCACCGGACACCGTTCTGACGTAATCGCGTCCCAAACTTGCGGAGTTGTGATACCAACAAGAGCAGCACGAAGATTGATGACATCTCCATCCCAAAGGTACCCTGCTTGCTGATGTAGATATTGTCGCATGCCAAGGTGCGGGATCTTCAAGGCGCTCCAGTGGTTACCATTATACAACCAAGTAGCTGATGTGTAGTGGAGGTTTGCTTCCTCGGAGCGAAATTTAGCTTTTGCTTCCATTTGTTCCTCGCTGCTCATATCGTAAAATTTATCTGGGAGAAATGGAGCCTGTAAGGTTTGAGCCTTCGACGAATCATGCTCGCAAAAAGCTGGGTAGCCTGCTTGCAAGAACAGTGGGAAGATGATGCTATCTTACCAGTCTATAATGCTCGCAACCTTTGCGGAGCCAGGCTCCATTAAAATATCATTCAGAGTCAAGTCAAAATGTCGTAGAATGAGAGCATTATAAACTGTGTCTTTTGGTATCAAAAGAGTGGAAAGTTGCAGGAATTTTGAAAGAAGCGATGTATGCTCCGAAGGGTCGATATCGAAACTGGTAGGAGGAGAAAGGTTCTTCGAGGTTGAGGCTTCGCATACTGCAGTATGCAAGTGGTCTCTCGCCGAGCAGCAGATGTAAAGCAGTCTTCAGGTGAGAGCCCTTTGCAAGGGTTAGCTTCATAACAATAACTTCAGGGAAACACTAACAAGGACCGCGATCAATCTTGGTATTACTTCGATCACCATGCCAGAACTGCCGCGCAGCAATAGGACCAATGCAGAAGTCTTCTACCGAAAGTGGTATGTTTGGTTCCTCTTCCAGCTCTCTCTTGCGATATAAACTTCCGTATCCTGGGAATGGATACGCAAAAATCCTCGCTTCAATTTCCGCTATTTGTTTCATCAAACTAGCCACATCCGCTGTAGTGAGAGATAACCATCTTGATGCAACGCTCACGCCTTTTACCCGCTCCATTATTATATACTGATCCAACTGGATTGGTCGAATCTGCCGAATACGCCAGTACTCTTGGGACCGGAACTCCTAGAATATCTCGCAAGAAGGCCATCGTAGCAACCTCGCTGGGGGTGGTGTAGTGGGGTGGGCCGGCAATGGGAGTGGGAATGCGTGCTATGACTTCTTTACCAGAAGTTGTTCTAAATAGGAAGACTTTGTTGAAACCACCGTCTGCGAGTTTGAAAATATGGGCACAATGGTCTTCTCCCATTGCTTTCCCAGCAACGCGCTGAAGCTGGATCGGGTCGAAGTTCACATATCTCTCTTTCAGCCGCTCGTCCTCGTTCATTCTTGTATATTTTAGTAGCTTATGCGCAATAGAGGTAGGTTAGGCTTACATCCATCTTCGAGACGTGTTTCTGAAGAAGTTATCGTACGTAGATGATCTGCTAGACAGATGAAGGCGTGACGGCAACGATATGACAAATTCCCTTGTGCACCATGGTGTAAATATAGTGGATGAAAGTGATCGCCGTCTGGAAATGCATACGCTCTGGGCATTGAACATTTCAGTAGGGGTAGTGTGGAGATGCCGGTACCAAGATACTGATGGCTAGTCAAGACGTGTTAGCGCTGAGGCTGTTTGATAATCATTGCCTTAACAGGGGGTGTTATTCGTTCTGGCTAGATACCGAGGAATCAAGAAGCATTATTGGCTTTCACAGCCCATAATCAAGGGGTAGTAGTTACACTAATCGAACGGGGAATTACGTACCCCATAGTCAGAAACTCTCAGAACAAAGCTTCTCACCCAATCAAGCTACCGACACTTAATTCTTCCCCGCGAAACAGGGCCATGACAGGTGCGGATCAGCCCTACATGCCGCCTCCATATGCCTTGTTCGCAATTCACCCCACCGTATCACATCACCGACCACCATTCAACCGCCCATCACTCCAACATTCACCAACATGGCTAACCAGCTGAGTGAACATCATCATAATTATAGCATCAGGTCAGGCAACCGTGTTTCACCGCCGATCCCCCTGATGACGTCATCCTGGGCCTCAGCCACTCCCCACTTTGTCTCCATTTCCAAATAAATACCCCGCCTGTCAGCTTCTCAGGGTCCCAGGGTCCAAACACCTTCCACTCCAACTTTATCCGTCTTTCATTCTCTGTAATACTCTCATCATGCCTGGACACTTCGGCCAGAAAATCCTCAACACCCTCGGAATTGACCATCACGGTCACCACGGCCATGGCCAAGGCCAACCCTACCAACAGCCGCCCCCACCAGGCGACAACCGTCTCGCCGGCAATCGCGTCATCCACAACGACGAGCGCCTCCTCTCCCCCCACCCCGCCGGCACCTACCCACGCCTCGCGCGCCTCCACGACGGTCGCATCCTTGCCTCATTCACGCGATTCGTCGGCGACGGTGAACGTGTCCTAATGGTCTCCATCAGCGAGGACAACGGCCAAACTTTCACCGACCACGGCGAGATCACCCGCGGCAAGGGCGACGTTGACAACGTGTACCTTCTCGAGATCGGACCTGGAACTGTCCTCGCGGCCTTCCGTAATCACGATATTGGCCCTGGTGGCCCTACGCACTTCCGCATCACTGTTTGCCGTTCCACGGACGCCGGGCGCAGCTGGTCCTTCGCCTCCCAGGCCGCAGAGAAACCCGCCCCAATGGGTATCTGGGAACCGTTTATGAGACTGGGGCGTCGGCCGGGCGAGATCCAGCTCACGTATTCGCAGGAGTTTGCGCATAATAATCAGTGCACGATGCTCGTCAGGTCATATGATGGGGGTTCGTCGTGGTCGGCACCGCAGTGTCTGCACGGGGCGGAGGATCAGCGCAGAGATGGTATGAATGGTATTGCGAGAACATGGGATCAGGCGAGGAATTGCGAGGCGTTGGTTATGGTCTTTGAGACGACCACATATGGCACGTTCGATGTCGAGGCGCTGGTTAGTTACGATGATGGCGAGACGTGGGGTGGCAGGCAGCAGGTGTATGTGCCCGCGCAGGGACACAATGCGGGAGCCCCTCAGATTGCTAGTCTCGGTGATGGGTCGTTGGCCGTTATCTTCATGTGCGATGAGGATTTTGATGAGGTAAACTGGACCAAGAATGCTTGTGTCAAGGTCGTCTTTGGGTCTATGCCCCATGAAGGGAGGATTATGTGGACGAGGCCCACGACAGTGTGTCGGGATTCGAGTCACTGGCCGGGTATCTTCACTCTCGATGACAGACGGTTGTTGGCGCTGTATGAGTGTGGTGGACCTAAGGCGAAGACGATTGCGTTGGAGTGGTAGTTGCTATATACCTAATTAACGGCGACATTGCATGTAATATGAGTTTAGCCTGATTGATGGAAATGACATGTTATTCTCAGGACGGTTCGAGTAATGAGAGTGTGCAACCCCATAGTACGACCGTTGCCAGATCTGTAGCTGGTGGAATGTCTGCAAGTATGTGTCTTTTAGACGTGCTCTTGACACTTCATCTCTTCGCAGGCTGCAACTCATCGGCGACTGCTTCGATCACTCCCATTCCGACTGTCATGTCGACGCTTGTGTCTCCTCCCTGAGCTACGGGAGCTCTGACCAGAGGTCCACGAATAAACCGAGTAGAAGTCACTGCCAGCCACGGATCCAGCCTGGGATGCAGTGCTGTGCCGACTCTTATGTCGACGCGAATGATGTCGGATAGTATGCTGTTCGGTCTCTCCAGCTGATGCGACTGTCGAGGCGCGCTCCAACTCATCATCTGTTTCTCGACCAACAGCTTCCTCATATATGTACTCGTCACCACTCACTGGATCTTCTGCCAGCACATCACGCATCTTCTCTTGCACTTGTACCTGCTCGCCAGGTTGTCGTATTGGCTCATCGACGGACTGATCATGAATCACCAATCCGTCCGTCTTCCCAATCTCCCCATCATGCAATACCTGCATCCCCAACAACCTGGGATTCTCATCCTGTCCAGTCCCTATTCCAAACACTATTACCCCATCAGCACCTCAAATCAACGGCTCCGGAATGCGACAACTTACATTGTTCCCAAAACCCCCTCTGCGGCTTCCACAACCCCACATTCCCCAACTCGCCCTCCCTCACCCCCGGAAGAAACATTCTTACCAACGGCACCCCATTATGCACATCACAATAAACATCGAACGGCTCAATACTCTCCACCGGAAACTTGATCGGCGTCTCCACCGTAATGGGATAGTACGCCGGAACAAGTAACCTGAAATGCACCTCCCCTTCCCCGCCTCCTCTCCCCACACCTGCCCTCCTCATAGCCTGCATATAAATCACCACCGCATCCAAACTCCCAAATATCCCAATGAACCGCTCACCCAGCACGCCGCGATTCAAAACCAAATCCTCGAAATGATGTCGCCAGATCGTGTCCGGGTGGTAAACGAGGTACCATATTGAGGACGGCTCGGATTTGATTTTGTGTTGGAGCATGTTGTACACGAGGGTGGGGAATTCGGATGCGACTCGCAGTGCATTGTCGCGGGCGAGAGTGTCGGAGATGGTGCCCAGGTGGGAGGAGATTTGGCGTAGTTGGGTGTTGGTTTCGAGGGCTTGGTGGATGGTGATTGCGGCGAGGGCGGGCGGTGCGAAGCTGCTGGCCAGGGTGAGGGCCGTGCTGGCGTAGAGGGGGTTGTCGCCGTGGGAGTCTTGGGCGATCAGTATGGTGGAGAGCAGGTCGTGGGTGGTTTTGGAGATGGTTGTTAGGGTTGTGAGGAGGTTGGGGAGGGATTTAAAGACCATTTTTGGTCTTTTCTTTCTCGGTTGTAGACGGGATCAGTGGTAGTGGTGATGGGTGTTTCCGTGGTTTAGTATTAGTCTTGAATTGGGGTTTGGGTGTATTTACGATCGTGATATGTGATTCTGTGGAGCTGTCCACGTTGACGCATTCAAGTGGGGTGGTTAGAACGAATTGAAACGGCCCTTTATCACTAAGCACTGAGGACAACTCATGGTGCTGATTGTGGACCAATTATTTTGATTCGCCTCACTTTGGGTGTATATTTTTGGTGATAATGTTATAAATTATTCGATTGCCTCCGATTTCAGGCTGCTTTGTTGTTTGTTCGTTCCGATGTTTGTCGAATTGCCAAGAATACAGAGTTGCTTTCAAATGTGTGGGATTACCCGCGCAGCTATTGTAGCAGATATGGGCAGAGCCCCTTTATTAATGTCATATACGGGAATTTCCGATGGGGTCGTGTTTATTCTGATTGTAATTGGAGGGACCTATCAGTGATCAAGAATCACTGGTACCGCGAAGTTACCTCATATATGAGAGTGTTTCAAATGGAGAACTTCAGATAAACCAACCACGGCGCAACAGTCAAAAGATCGTACGGTGCTCACCGATATGGCAGAATACCAAGCATGTAATACAATGGGCGTTTCCTTGATTCAAGCTCAAGCAACGGACTTCATGCTTTTCCTACATGCTGTTGTGATCCCCATGCTCTTGTCTTGATATAAGTATGTAGTCCTTGTACCTTAGATGTCACTTCCTCTATCGACTCATCGCTGACCCGTGGAGCATTTGTCATACTCTATTTTTCTCCCCAGCCATCGATACATCTCTGCTTTGAAAAGCCCCTGTTTTTTCTGCATAACCAGACTTCTTATACCCCATACTCTTCCGGTTACTGCAACATCACTACATCATGTCGGGAAGATTCATAAGCAACAACTTGAATCCATCCGGTCCACCCAGACAAAATTTGATAGGCATCTTTGGCCTTCCCGGATCTGGAAAGACCCATCTTCTGAATCAGCTCCGAAGGGAACTTGAGGGGGGCCCTTTTTCGTTCTATGAGTACGAAGAGGTTAAAAAAGCCTGCCCTGCTTATTGGTCTGCCTATGATAGCGCCTTTGAATCCATCAGACATGAGTGTGATGATGCTGGGGTCACAGGGATCGCCACAGCTAATTACATGCAACCGGATGATTTTGGCGAGCATCCATGCACGACACTTCTGGATGATGGTACCCTCAAAAGGCCATTCACGCATATCATGTATGTGAACACCCCTGTCGAGGTAGCCCATCAACGTTGTATGGAGGACGGTGAAAAGAATCCTACCTGGTATTCTCTTGATTACTTTCGCAAATGGGCTGATGAAGAATTCATTGGGCTGAAAGACACGTGTTTCGACCGGAAGATCATGTTCACCATGGTGGATCCTGATGACCTTCCGAGGATTATCACCCTCATTCACACCTTTCAGCTTGACCGAAATGAAGAACGCAATCAAGGCATTGTGGATCAGTGTATTGACGAAGTTGTAGCTCCC